TCATTCACAGCATCTGAAATGTTGCTATGGTCATTCGGAAATGCCAGAACAAAGTCCGTCATCGAAGTATTTCTGTATAATTGCCTCCCAGAACTGTTAAACGACTGCGTTCCCAAACAGCAGCATCCACCTCCGAAAGCAATAACCGCATTCATCGTGTTTCGTCTGCTCGTTCTGAGGTGCATGTAATTTATAGGAAAATTATTATATTCAGTAGCTTCTCCTACTTTTCTTAGTGATGTATAGTGCCAGTTTATCAGGAAGTGATGATTTTATTCTCTTTAACTCCTTGGATGGAAGTTAAATTTCGCAAATTTGGATGGAAACCCGGCTATTGTCCTCTACGAGCAACACACAGCAGCCTTTCCTATTGAATTAATTGGTTTTGATTTGAACGGATCGGTCAAGTGAATGATTCACTTTATTCCTCACTGAATGAATCAGCCATTTGAATGAATGATTTAATGACTCCCTCTAAAGATAATAACTTGGATAGTACGTCGGATAATTTTGCATTAATATTTCAGTTTTGTGCAATATGATTTTAAATGTTTAGTTTTGATTCATGCTTATTTTTTTTAATGCGTTATTACATTTTTGATTTATGCTTATTATTTTTGGATCTGTGACCATTGCTTGTTATTCTGCTTTCATTTTAAAATTCTGTGCAATATATTTTTACTTGCGTTTTTAAATTTTGGTTTCTTGCTTATTTTTTTTTATCCATGACTGCAATACTTTTGGCGGAAAATTGATCCCATAATTCCGTGGCAGTACAGTGTTCAATATTCATTGTTTTTATTTGTTAAAGCAGTTACGAAAAATCAACAAACAAACATGCATAGATACACCAAGTTAATTCATTTACAGAGATCAATTACAACACAGTGAGATCAAATGGGACATTGGAACGAAATGTCAAAAATATATAATTAGTCACAACGTATGCATTTGAACCAAAGTGAATTTAATATACAAGTAGGCCTACATTTTATTTGTTTTCACATGAGGAACCATGCTGTTTAGTTGCTGTATTGCAAAACAGCATCAAGCCACAAAGGAGGCAAGGTTTTGCTTCACTTCAACGGGGTCAGCGAGTGCACATGACAAAATGCTTGCCCTCATTCCACTTCTGCTTCTAGTAGATGGAAGAACCTACAATTTAAAATAAAGAGTGAATTACAGCCTTGAATATTACATTTTCAAAATAAGTTGCAAATGGCAAACAGGAATAACCTTTAGATAGATTTTGCATCTCTCCAGAAGAAACTTCCACTGCAGAGTTGTCCTTTGACACTCCGACAGACACAAAAACTCTTCTGTCTGTCAACATAAATATTTTACGTTTACTCTTCGCAGGACATACAGACATACTAATTCCATGATATATATTATTAGAGATAGTCAGGTAATTTAAATGTTTATTTAATGGTGAATGACCCCAAGGGTTGCAGTATCAATGCACAAAGGTTTTTAATAGAGACAAAATAGTTTTAACTACTAAAGGCATTTAGTGAGCTGATAAATGTACATACACAGTATTGACAGCAATAATATAAGTATTAGATTTGCTCACTTTACAGCCCAGGGTTTTCTCAGCCACTGTTCCTGCCAGGTTGCAAGACTGCAAAGTCCCAGTGTGATCGCTGATGCCCACCAGCAGATCAAAGCCTTCAGGAGCCTGGAGCTGTTGTCCTTGATTTGGACAGGCATCATTGGAACATTTCTGACTCTCCTCATTGATTCGAAATTTGCATTTGGCACTAGTGGAGAAATTATTGATTAAAACAGGCTTGTGAACAGTAGGCCATTGCACAAAACTGTCAAAGCATTGCACACTTACCATCTCTTGCGTATGACTTTGGAGATGGAGGAACTTAGTTCAAGATTTGTGATGAATACATATGTTATGCAATGAAAGACATCAGCATGTTCTTGACTTCTAGCTTTAAGCTGGTTCACAGTCAGAACATCACTAATGGAATCCACTGAGAAATAAACGGAAGGATACAGTTATACTGTCAACACTTTACAAATAAGGTTCCACAACTACATTAAATAATAAGAAAAATACTTCTAAAGCATTTTTAATCTTATTTAATGTTAATTTATTAAAATCAAAAGATGTATCTGTAAATATTATTTTATGAACCGGAGCTAACATGAAGTAACAATGAATAGTTGTATTTTTATTATCTAATGTTGACTAAGATTATCAACTGCTGTAACAAACTGCTCAATGTTAGTCAATATTTAGTAAAGGAATAGTGCACCCCGAAATTAAAATATGATGAAAATTGACTCAACCCACAGGCCATCCAAAATATTCTTCATTTCGTTTCTTCATTGAAAACGATTTGGAGAAATGTAAACTTTAAACTGTTGCTTCTGGCCAAAATATGAGTCCACAATCTATAATAACACTTTCACCCCTGATGTCCTACTACATCAAAATCCACCAAGATATTTGATTAGAGAACTGTTTTCACATGTAAACTGTATTTGATCTGTGCATATTTCTTTCCTGATTAAGGTGAGATGGTTTTTTACTTTTTTCACTGAAAAAAGCAATTTTATGGACAGACAACTCGTATCATAACCATCGGCAATAGTTTGAAGTTAAAAATGTTGGATTTGTTTCTTACAAACACAGCTTTTCGTGTCACAAGGTTTCTTGTGGATTATTGTGATGTTTTTATCAGCTGTTTAAACTCTCATTCTACCGGTACCCATTCACTACAGAGGATCCACTGATGAGCAAGTGATGTAATGCCAAATTTCTCCAAATCTCTTCTGATGAAGAAACAAACGCATCTACATCTTAGATAGCCTGAGAGTGGGTAAATTTTCATTTTTTGGGTGAACTATTCCTTTAATGCATTAACTAATGTTAATAATGGGACCTTACTGTAAAATGTTGCTGTTTTACTGTGTTATACTGTATGAGCTGCACATGTTGCTGTTTTACTGTGTTATACTGTATGAGCTGCACTATAAATACTGTATTGTTAATGTAGAGGTCCAGATACATCACGTGACTTACATTGCACACTGTCACCTGAGAGGATGTCTTGGTCATCCAGTCCTCCTGCTTCTAGCAGTTCCCTTATACATGTGCACAGTTGGTTGGCTTCTGCTGTATCTAAAATGTAATTGAAAAAAATGTAAGGATTTTAACGATAATTGTTAAAATATAAATTATTATAATTGTAAGTATTTAAATCGATTCTTTAACATAGCATTTCACATCACTACCAGGGTTGAGAGTAATGATTGTCTTTGAGGTCGCTGTTGCTATCATACAATTGCGAAAGCTGTCAAAGGTGATGCGAGCATCTGCAATGAACAGCACTGAGAGAAAATAAATACAATGAATTTCAACCCTCACATTTTAGAAATTACCACTCAAAAATATAAACAGACAAATAAACATTATTATACCCATTTCTCTTTGTGTCAGTGTTTGTAGCAGCCCAATAGTCTGTTTCTTCATTGAAAACGATTTGGAGAAATGTAAACTTTAAACTGTTGCTTCTGGCCAAAATATGAGTCCACAATCTATAATAACACTTTCACCCCTGATGTCCTACTACATCAAAATCCACCAAGATATTTGATTAGAGAACTGTTTTCACATGTAAACTGTATTTGATCTGTGCATATTTCTTTCCTGATTAAGGTGAGATGGTTTTTTACTTTTTTCACTGAAAAAAGCAATTTTATGGACAGACAACTCGTATCATAACCATCGGCAATAGTTTGAAGTTAAAAATGTTGGATTTGTTTCTTACAAACACAGCTTTTCGTGTCACAAGGTTTCTTGTGGATTATTGTGATGTTTTTATCAGCTGTTTAAACTCTCATTCTACCGGTACCCATTCACTACAGAGGATCCACTGATGAGCAAGTGATGTAATGCCAAATTTCTCCAAATCTCTTCTGATGAAGAAACAAACGCATCTACATCTTAGATAGCCTGAGAGTAGGTAAATTTTCATTTTTTGGGTGAACTATTCCTTTAATGCATTAACTAATGTTAATAATGGGACCTTACTGTAAAATGTTGCTGTTTTACTGTGTTATACTGTATGAGCTGCACATGTTGCTGTTTTACTGTGTTATACTCTATGAGCTGCATTATAAATACTGTATTGTTAATGTAGAGGTCCAGATACATCACGTGACTTACACTGCACACTGTCACCTGAGAGGATGTCTTGGTCATCCAGTCCTCCTGCTTCTAGCAGTTCCCTTATACATGTGCACAGTTGGTTGGCTTCTGCTGTATCTAAAATGTAATTGAAAAAAATGTAAGGATTTTAACGATAATTGTTAAAATATAAATTATTATAATTGTAAGTATTTAAATCGATTCTTTAACATAGCATTTCACATCACTACCAGGGTTGAGAGTAATGATTGTCTTTGAGGTCGCTGTTGCTATCATACAATTGCGAAAGCTGTCAAAGGTGATGCGAGCATCTGCAATGAACAGCACTGAGAGAAAATAAATACAATGAATTTCAACCCTCACATTTTAGAAATTACCACTCAAAAATATAAACAGACAAATAAACATTATTATACCCATTTCTCTTTGTGTCAGTGTTTGTAGCAGCCCAATAGTCTCTTTATCCCAGCTGGATGAAAAAAGTAATGAAATCACTTTAGTGTTTGGTGTGGATATTTGCTGCCGTTTTTTTTAATCATACTGAATTTAATTATACTCGCCACACAAAAGGAAATGATATCCCAGTGTCATCAAAGAGCTTTATTTCTAGCCTCTGTCCTTTGCGTCCATCAGATTTTGTAAAGTATTTCTCCTCTCCGATCTAAATGATAAAATCTCAATCATTGAAATGGATACGGCATCTTTCAGAAAAACATCTGTACTTTTGCAGGATGGGAAATATTGCCCACCAGCCACTAATGTCAGTTTGTGTTAATTTCCCTGACATCAGTGAGGAGGGCTAGCAGTATTGTTGGAATCTAACCGATTGCACAGCTGCTAGAATGTTAATAATGTGTCCATCCAGACTCTGTCCATTTGCAGTAATGTCTCCCAATGAATAGAAGTCCCTCGAGTCTTTAATTGGCATATGGAATAATGGCAGAATCCTGGCCTCTGTTTCTAAATCTGAGCATATCCTAATGCTTGAGTGAGTCTCTGTTACCAACAGCCTGTAGGTACTGAGATAAAAGATGTATTTGTATCACTTACAAACTTGCAGTATGATGGCAGAGGAATGTTTCTTAGAAGGATGTGATTTTTCATTTTACCTGGGTGTTGAAGGGCAAAATCTTTCTTCTTTCTCATAGTCTTTAGTCACAACGAGGGGATTTTCAATTACAACTAAAACAGAAGAGGTTATTTTGGCTTACAGTGTCAATTCAGTGTATTAGAAGTATTTTTTGTTAACAAGAGTAGGCTAATTGACTTTTGTAAATGACTAAATGACTCATTACTACTTAAAATCTCACCACAATCCCCAATCTGAAAGCGACTGCTCAGTCCTTGGATGTATGCCTCATTTCCCCATGCAGACACATTGATAAAATGTTCTGGTGAATCTTTGACAGTAAAGCTGAAAGTAAATCTTTCAGACCCAGCATCTAAAATAACAAGAAAAGACTGCATATTATATATAAAGAAAAAATGGAAATAGAATGCTGAACATCTATGTAATGGTAACCAACTTTTTCGGTCTGGAAATCCCCTTGAATCAGTTTTTCCAATTATCACTCCAACCACCTTCTGGAAAATGAAAAAGCCTTATTTAATTTTTTTTTATTGTAAATATAGTCCTTACAGGCATTCTATTCCTTTTGTTGACTTTTGTAAATGACTAAATGACTCATTACTACTTAAAATCTCACCACAATCCCCAATCTGAAAGCGACTGCTCAGTCCTTGGATGTATGCCTCATTTCCCCATGCAGACACATTGATAAAATGTTCTGGTGAATCTTTGACAGTAAAGCTGAAAGTAAATCTTTCAGACCCAGCATCTAAAATAACAAGAAAAGACTGCATATTATATATAAAGAAAAAATGGAAATAGAATGCTGAACATCTATGTAATGGTAACCAACTTTTTCGGTCTGGAAATCCCCTTGAATCAGTTTTTCCAATTATCACTCCAACCACCTTCTGGAAAATGAAAAAGCCTTATTTAATTTTTTTTTATTGTAAATAATAGTCCTTACAGGCATTCTATTCGTTTTGTAAATAGTAATTTATTATCACAAACTAAGCTGAACAAACATATATTGATCATTTCACTAATTATTCATTAAAATTAAGACACCGCCATAACCTGGCACTCAAAAATACGTCTTCTGATATTTGCCTCAAGTTCTCACCGAGTGTGTGATGTTTATGTTTAGGTCACTTATTGGCACGTAGCTTCGTATTGTATCATACATCATTTTCATCCCTGAAAGACAGAAACACTCATGACGAGAAGATCATTCCACTTTTATGAAGAGCTAAACCAGCAAAGGAGAGTTATCAAAAAAAGCTAGTAACTTTAATTTCAACCTGAAGAGCTAACGCTGAGGTAAAACAGTTTCGTTGCTAATTTGACTTCATCTGTAACCTACTCCACATAAATCATTATCAATTAATTAAACAACTTAGTATTTGTTAAGCTTAACAACCGTTAATAATCACCGTGCGAAATCTCGTTTGCGTTTGCTCCCTACAAAGTCAAAGGCAGCAGACGATGAAGCAGTTCGCGGGTCTCGAGCTATGAAATGACTCACTAGCGGGCCGGCGTCATTTTGGCGGTTTTTGTGTCGCTGCCAATATTAATAAATAAATAAATAAAATAACGGTAACAAACAGAATTGCATTAATTCATACTTTAATAGTGGAAAACTAAATAAAAAGACACTTTCCATGTAACAGGAACATACATTTCAAAATATTATGTCTTTATGGTAGATACAATAATAAAGAAACAGGATTCATTTAATTTGGTTGAACAAAATATAATATCAATAAAATAACATGCTATTTTAATGTTAAAATTATTGTATTGTTCAAAATAGTAGGGTAACACTTTACAATACTGTTCTGTCGTAAATGAATAACTAGCTACATAGGAACAAATGACTAATGCACTAATAACATTCTAGTAGCTACTATTAACTAACAAGAAACTCTGATTAATGATTTAGTAAGCAAGTGATTTAGTAAGTAAAATGATCTATTTTTTCATATATCCAAGAGAACTACTAAGAGCTACTATACAGGTTCATAATTAATGTGAATTTTGCATAATGTATAATTAATTCTAAAGTGAAGATCATGGTAACCCACTAGTAATGACTTAAGCAATACCAAATCCTTCTAAAGGAACTACTAGTTATTTGAATCAGTATTCTAAAGGGAAAAGCATGATAACTCCCTAATATTGACTGACGGCATTGTAAGCTTTTGAGATATATGTAAGGTTGGATAGTAACGACTCAAGTGTTACTACATCATTCTAAAGGAATTACTCATTACTTGGATCAGTATTCTAAATTGAAGATCATGGTAACCCACTAGTAATCAAGTGTTACCAAATCTAGAAAAAGGAATTACTATCCAGAATCTTACAAAAACCTCAAAAGCTTACATGATTTCAGTAATTACTGGAGTTATCGTGTTATTCACTTTAGAATACTGATCCAAGTAATTAGTAATTCCTTCTGAAGGATTCGGTAATACTGGAGTCATTACTAATGGTTTACCATGACCTTCACTTTGGAATTAATTATTAATAATCATACATTATGCATTATTCATATTAATGATGAACCCGTTTACAGTCGTTCTTATTAGTTCTTGGGGAGGTATGGAAAAATAGTAGTTCCTGATTAACTAATAGTGAACTACCACATTAGATTAAGCAATATTACTTACTAATTCAGTAATCAAAGTTTCTTGTTAGTAACAAGTAGTTACTAGAGTGCTACTATTGTGTTACACATGTGTTCTTGTGTAGTTATTCATTAATGACGGAACAGTATTCTAAAGTGTTACCAATAGTAGTAACCACGATAATCACTCATGCTGTAAATTGCTTTAGGAAATTACTGAAGGTTCACAATTAACATTTTAAATCAGCAATATTCCAGACTGGTTTTATCAGTAAGTAATTTAATTCATTAATCTTGCACATGTTTATATCAGCTTATGCAGGCTAGTATAAAAATAGATCAGCTTCATTCTCTGTGGCGTGTCCAGGATGGTCATCATTTATCTGTGAACAGGATCTCCAATCGGGGCTTTTTCTTGTCCACTTCATGAGCTGAACATCCCGTTGCCAGTGTGCGCACAACAGCAGCCTCATCAGCATGGTCAATCACCTCGCTTATTGTTTATCAACCTTATCTGATTGGAGACAAGTTGGAGTATGAGTTAAAGTGGTTACTACTACTTAATGTAAATAAGTATATAGTTACTTGATACTGCAAAATTATACAGAAAACTACATGTGGTGGTGACTTACCTTTTGGGACAAACTTAAGCGAGTGACTGAATATTCAAAAACGTGATGAGCCCTCCTCCGGCCCATCATTCAGAAACTCGTGGCCTAGTCCATTACCACACTTTCCACACAGAACCTGCATATGCATGCACACATATATGAACACACAGGAACATATTAGTGGCGGCTGTAAATATTGACTAATTAAAAAAAAAATCTGATTCTGACCTTGTAGGCTGTTAATGTCTCCATCATTTTTGTTACACTGTCCTCTCGAATAGTCTCTGTGAAGGCAGGCCAGGGGGAGGAATGTTCATATTTGGATCTGCTTGAAAAGACTGGATGTCCACACTGGGAACAAACATATATACCTGCAGAGAAACAATAAATCAGGTACTTGTCCTTTTTCGACCAGTTTGTAAACCAAACACTTTGTTTTCTTGGCATTTGGAAAAATGTAAGCAAAGTTGGTTAGCAAATTTCGCTACATCAGTTCAGCTACATATAAATTATATAACGTACATCACAAGTGTCTAAGCTAAGTGTTACATCATAATATTCCTTAAAGGTAAAGGGAAGGGAGCATGTTGTGGAGAGTAAATAATGATAAACATTACTTACCGGGTTTGAAATGATCTTTATAAAATTCCTTACCGAAAAAAGAACAAAATGACATTGTTTGTCAGAGATTAATAGATAAAACCAACAGTGTATGTGTATGTGGCGGTCAAGTGTGAGGACAAGCTGAGAAACTAATGAACGACAATGTTCCGGTCACGTGACTCTTACAACACTGCACGTGCACAGTTGAACTTTCCCTGAACAACCATGAGGTGTCAGTGCAGATCACCCGAACACTCATGTCTACGTAGAGAAAATGCTTGATATAATAGCGAAATGTTTTCATTAATAGGCCTACAGGTGCTTTAATAAACTGATTCGTTAAAAATATTAATGGAATACATTAAGAATAAAGTTATTTTCATAGTAGGCTAAATAAGGAATGCTATGATATGGTTCATGAAATGTTTTTGAGCAACCTCAACCTTTTAAAAAAAAGTAATGACATATAGTTGGGTTCAAAAGTCAAAGACCACAAGTGAAAATTCAAGTACTTTTCATTTAATAATTTACAAATGGCAAAGAAAAGACTTTTTGAATTACAAATTTGAAAACACAAAAGAAATGTCGAGACCGGCAGGTTGACATTTAAAACAGGGCATGTTGACATTGAACCCTATAAAGCCTACTACTGTATCATATTAGATAAACAGAAGACCTTAGAGAGAGAGAAATACGAAAAATCATGTATCAATTATGACACATCAGGCTTTTGAGGAAAGTGCATTGCATTATAGGCTATGTTTTGCCCCCCACAATAAAACCACAGAGCCTTGATCATAAAACTAAGCATTTAAATATCACCTTAATAAGACATATTATTGGGAGATATAGAGTGACAGTTATATACAGTATATGTATTTTATTAGGTAGTTTAAGATTACAAGCTATCAGAATTGCATCTTTTTGGCATTACAATACCTGCAGCAAATTGAATATTTTGCTTAGTTTGGGCCTCTAAATAAAATCAAGTGTTTTTTCCTCCTCAAGTATGAGCTTTATATTCTTACTATATAATATTATATGAGCTATAAAAGCTTGATGTATCAAATACAAATGCATAAAAGCATAAAACACAAACAGTTTTTTTTATTCAATACACTGTTCTAAACTACAATTAACCAATTTTCTGACTATTATTTATTTTATTTATGTCAGGCTTTAAAGGGTTAATATGCTTTTATGACTCACTGAAAGATTAAGGATTACTTAAACCTATTAAAGACCTATGTCTTTAATAGGTTTTGGTCACTCATATTTGCAGTAGTGTTTAAGTAACTCCGGAAGTTCCAACCAGTCCAAAGCCATTCTGTGAATGATGTGTTTCTGAATTGTCTTTCGGCAGAGTGTCTGCAGTGAGGCAACTAAAACACAGGAGCAAAAGAGAGAGATTATTACAGTCTGTCTGTTGCAATGTGAGTCATATAATCATATCAAATCATATTAGCAAGTTATAAACTGAAACTTACATCCATATTCCACCTGTACAATCCGAACACTTTTAGTAGCTGCAAATACATCCACAACAGCATACAGTGGCTTATTGGTGGAGATCCTCTTGGCAGAGGCTCCCATGTCTTCACCATTGACGACAATGTGCATGTCGGCATACCCTTGTCCCTTAGGTACATAGACAACCCCTATCCGACTGCGACGGGCAGTGGGAGGTAGAGCATTGGTTTTGTACAGATCATCCAGGATGTGACTGAATCTCCCGGGCCGACTGCGTCCCACTAACTTGTCTCTGGGTATGCTCATGTTTTCTATATACAGGTGAGTGTCTGTGAAAAATGTTTTAGGCTTGTTTTCTGCTTCGTCATCAACATTTGGCTGTTCACCACCTTCTGCTTCTCCTCCTTCATCCTCAATGACTTTATTATGGTTTCTTGTTATTGCAAATACCCAGCTGTCTCCCATATCAACAAGATCAGGCAGAGAGTATTCTGGCACAGTATCCAGTGTTCGAGGGTCATGGGCAGTAAGTCCAATCCTTAAATGACCACACCACCCCAGTTCTTTCTCTTCAATCTCCACTAGGAAGATCTCTCCAGAGCTTAAAGGGTCTTTACTGAAGCAGACGCCATTTGCAAAACTTTCTACTCGGGTGGCCTGAGTCCTCGAGGGGTCCAGTCTCACATTTATTCCATGAACTGAATGGAATTCCATAAACTGACCCAAAACTGCTGCCATTTTGACAGTTTTCTATAAGTTAAAATAAGAGCCGTGATTTTGTAATAACTCAAGCTTAAATAAAACAAATGCACTAAGGATAAAAACTAAAAACTCACTCATTCAAAAATGTTTACTGTCCTCTTCTCTGGGGATAGTCCTTGTTAAAAGCATGATCTTTTTAACAGATACCTCTACCATGGTACCATTGTGGCTTAAGGAAGTTTCTAGTTCTGAAGGGCTGACTATTTTTGACCTCTTGCATGTGTCGTTGGTGGTTTTAAATAGCTGACCAGATATGGTGAGTGAAGAATAATGACTGGGAGGAGTTTTAGCCTTCAGATCAGTACTGCTCATTGACTATCCACTGTTTCTTAGAGATCAGGGTGTTTAAAAAATACTGAATTAAATTCAATTAAATTCAAGTTTATTTGTATAGTATTCAGTATGGTTCTGTATTCACAATACAAATCGTTGCAAAGCAACTCTACAGCAAATCAAGTTTCTACAATATTTAGTGGTAGCTTATCAGTGGTGACTGTCAGTTAATGCTCATATGGCAGAAATGTACAGAAAAAAACTATTAAAGACGTAATCAAACAGACAATGAACATTATTAACAGCAATTATTATATGATGCAATCAAACTTATAGCAAAATGTGGTAGTTCTGTATGTTGTTTCAGGGTTGGCATCATCTGAGGTCCTCTGAGGGGTTGCATCATCTCTTTTCAGGTGTTCTGGATCCAGACTGAAGCTTGTGTAATTACTAGTTACCTGGGAATGCAAGTCCCGTGGCAGAAACAGAGAAGCAAATAGAGACAAACTTAGTGTAGCTGCTGTTCCACCAAGCAAAATTGATTTATTTAACCCAAACTAAAGAATAATAATGCACATTTGATCAAATATAACTGAAGTACAAGATTAATAGATGCATTATTTGAATGCTTGGCCAAAGAGATGTGTCTTTAATCTAGATTTAAACAGAGAAAGTGTGTCTGAACCCCAAATGCTATCAGAAAGGCTATTCCAGAGTTTGGGAGCCAAATGTGAAAAAGCTCTACCTCCTTTAGTGGACTTTGATATCCTAAGTACTACCAAAAGTCCAGAATTTTGCGACCTTAGGGAGCGTGATGGATTGTAGCGTGGTAGAAGACTAGTTAGGTACGCAGGAGCTAACCCATTAAGGGCCTTATAGGCAAGTAATAATATTTTGTAACTGATATGGAACTTAATAGGTAGCCAGTGCAGAGACTGTAAAATTGGGGTAATATGAATTATGAATAAAACTGAGAAGACAAATGTTACTTAGAAAAATATACAACACAAGGTCACTCTGTGATTCCTTATAAGGACCTTATAAGGAATCACAGAGTGACCTTGGGTTGTATATTTTTTCTAAGTAACATTTGTCTTCTCAGTCCAGAGAGATCTGTGCTAAGAGAGCTCCACAAAGCTTTATCTAGGCCAAAGTAATTGTCCTCTTTTACCCCACCTCCCTAACAGTCTGAGACAGTGAAATATTAGTGAGGCAGGCTACATTGTGGGCATGCACATTTTTTGTTATCAGATTAAAAATAAAATGTAGTTTCTTTTTTTTATTATTTTGCTGTTTTAATGTCAGATTCATTGATCTTGTTTACATACTCAAGAATATTCTGATATGAATTTGAACGTGGTCATATTATGATTATGTATCATGTAAATGCATTAACCTGATTTTTATAACCAGATACAGGAAAGAACATATCACACATATACATAATCAGAATTTTAACACATTTAGAATATCCTCCATAATTATTATTATTACTATTATTATTTTTTAGATTTTTTTTTATTTTTTTTTTTACTTTTTGTGATTTTTAACATTCTGTCAAGGGTCTACAGATTAAAAATATTTTGGCTAATTCTGGCAAATTTACAGTCATGTTAATTTATGTGCATTTCCCCTGTAAAAAAAATTAACTAAAGTGAATATTAATTTATATTTATATTGAAGAAATTCATTTGAAGTGAAGAGAAGACTCAGTTTTGAAACATTTTTAACATTGACCTAATCATTCTATGACTTGCATATTAAAAGGGAAAAATAAGGACGTGAATTAGACCATGTTTAAGTTAAGTGTTTTATTAAATTGTTGTCCAAAATTAGTAAAAGGCAGCATAATATACTGTAACAGTGCATTTACAGTATTTCTAGACCATAGTAGCTTATTTGTTTTATGCATATTACATTACATATTCCAATAAGCATAACCAGAATATATTAATCTAATTCTGAAAGTGCTGTGCATGTAAACGTGGTCACGGTTACAAATTCAGGACAAATGTAGAGTGGTTAGGGTCAGTGGACAACTCATTGACAACTCAATGGATGTTGGGGCAGAGTTGTTGTTGTTGTTTTAATCGGGATTATAGTGGACTCCAGCCATGCTTCCTATAATCAGACTGAGGAGCTGCTGTTCGCAAAATCACATCTGGATGGAGTTTGTGAGGGGGAGGAGTTAGTCTCTATGGGGATACACAGCTTCACAGTAATATAACAGCGATGTACTGCATAAGTGTAGTAATAATTTAAAACTGCGGAGGATCTGCGCGCTCTAGGCTACAGTCCAGATTTACCAAGCGACACATACACATCTGCACAGCCCTGCAGCTAGCTATAATGGACGATATAAGCGCACATCGCTCTTTAACTGTAGCTTTTATCATAAAGTCTGATGTCAAGCTGCGTGCACACTCATGATTCGTGCAAGACGTTTTAAGAAAGTGTCTCTTCTCTGGGAATGATTCCGTTCCATTCACCGTTACTGACAGGACGCAAAAAGCTGATATTTTTGGAGATCAGGCGATGGTGCATAAATTGGGTGAGTTAATTCTTTTCTTTTGAAATGATCTCCATACTCACAGAAAATGCCATTGCCAGTGCTTCTAAAAGTGCTGTCTCAAAATTGCTTTAATCTAGTGTCTATACGAGTATCCTGTATAGTACTGCATCAAAACTACAAAGCAATACACCTGCCTTGATGAATCACCTGCTGTGTTGCCTGTTCATTACAACAAATTAAAGTTTATCGTAATGCTCAGTATTTGTATCCATCTTGTCTCTGGGAATTATTAATGAATATAATCCATCTGAAACATTTGCTTGAGTTAAATCCAACTCATCTGACATTAAGCAGAGCTGTTAATCTGTTGAGCATTTTTTGTGTGTCAGACAGATCTGAAAGAATATAAAAGATATTTTGTGTATAATGACGTATTATAAACATATTTTTCCATTTACCAACAACAAATTCTACAGAAGTTACAGGTCTATTTATTGTCTATCGTAGTTTAGTCCAGATGGTTGCCTTCCAGTAGGCTGTCCATCAACATGTTTTTTTTTTACAACCATTCATCCAAACACAGTAGCTCAAAGGAGATGATTAAAGGCCTTGTGTATCCAAGTCTGCCTAAGCTTAAATTAATAATCAATAACTATTTGTAGGGAGTTTCACTGTACATTGTGTTTTACTCTGTTGTAAATCATAGCTGATAATTCAGGAGAATTTGAGAGAAATATATTTCTTTCAACTGTACCACACCAGATTATGGTTTATGCACTCTGTTTTTACACTTATGGCCTATACAGCACTGTCGATTGTTTAGTAGAATTATATAACACATGAAAGAGATCTGACATGCCACATAGTATAGATGTGCCCTTGAACAGTCTGTTGGTTTATTATTTCATCAGTCCATTTTGAATGAAGAAGGGATTAAAGAGAATTTGCCAGTTGCTGGAGAATTGGTGTCACATGGGTTACATAACCACAAAAGGCCGTTTTTAACTTACTTTTAAATGACTTACTTGACCTAGAAAGATAGTAGGAGATCTTTGCTTTTAATTCAGTCAGTTGACTGAACTAGAAAGTCCCATTTGCTCCTGACTAAGAGATATATAGCTTAGTCCCTCATTATGGTTCCCTTGATGTACTAAGTAGTATTTTATAATGCTGCAGTCTATAGGGAAACTAAATGAAATTAATGGGCATAACAAAATTAACATTAGTTCTGTTAATGGTCTTCTTTGTGTATCTTGTATTTAAGTGTTACATAACCTCTAGTAGCCCTAGAAATGATCAATGAGTGAGAAAAATTATCATTATCCTGAAAGTGCCCTTTGGCTTGTTTCTTATTTTTTATTGAGCACAGAAAGAAGACAATAAATCTTATGGGCAAAGTGTATTTTCATCACTTGAGGCTTGAACAGTCTGTTGGTTTATTATTTCATCAGTCCATTTTGAATGAAGAAGGGATAAAAGAGAATTTGCCAGTTGCTGGAGAATTGGTGTCACATGGGTTACATAACCACAAAAGGCCGTTTTTAACTTACTTTTAAATGCCTTACTTGACCTAGAAAGATAGTAGGAGATCTTTGCTTTTAATTCAGTCAGTTGACTGAACTAGAAAGTCCCATTTGCTCCTGACTAAGAGATATATAGCTTAGTCCCTCATTATGGTTCCCTTGATGTACTAAGTAGTATTTTATAATGCTGCAGTCTATAGGGAAACTAAATGAAATTAATGGGCATAACAAAATTAATATTAGTTCTGTTAATGGTCTTCTTTGTGTATCTTGTATTTAAGTGTTACATAACCTCTAGTAGCCCTAGAAATGATCAATGAGTGAGAAAAATTATCATTATCCTGAAAGTGCCCTTTGGCTTGTTGCTTATTTTTTATTGAGCACAGAAAGAAGACAATAAATCTTATGGGCAAAGTGTATTTTCATCACTTGAGAGGTGTTTTGAGTTGATTAGCTGATTGGCATGTCACCATATTCTAATTTGTTGAGATAGTGAATTAGTGGGTTTTTGTTAAATGTGAGCCAAAATCATCACAACTAAAAGAACCAAAGACTTAAACTACTTCAGTCTGTGTGCACTGAATTGACTTAATACACGAGTTTCATAATTTGAGTTGAATTACTGAAATCAATGAACTTTTCCACGACATTCTAATTTATTGAGATGCACCTGTACATACTGTATATTCAGCATAATTACGTTGCCTTTTATACAAAAAGGATATTATCAGGCACAAAGTGCATGAACTTTCTTAAATTTTTCTTAAATCGTTATATAACAACAGTGTCTATTTTTTTTTTTTTTTTAGAATTTCAGAGTATGTAGATCTCCCAACCCCTACTTATGCATTATATATATATTTTTATATACTCTAGATATTATTCTAGGTATTATCACCTGTAAAGCTTTTGATTCAAAGGCCCCTCATTGTCCAACTGAATATTTGAAGGCCTTCATAGGCTGAGATATTTAGGCTAAGATATTTTATGGTGTTTGTTTTCAAGCTTTTTTATTAACAGAAACCGTAACACTTTAAATAAATGAATTAAACATTATTTATTTTGTGATTCCAGAAGTTTCAGGTCCTTGTAGAGAACCACTGCTGTAGAGGGAGAAAAGTTCCTTTGTTGAGGCACAAAACTGATCCAGCCAATGTTTTGTCCAAAATGAGCATTGCCAATGAAAGGATCTTCCTCATTATCATAATACTCTGTAATGCTCTAAAAACTGCTGATGGAAGTTGACGCAATATGACTGTGTTGTCCATATATCTGGAGGCAAAATAGTTTCATTGGGAATTTTTTTTTTTGCTGACTCAAAGATTTTTACTTGTGCTCTGTAGAGATAAACCATGGCAGGGACGACAGGAAATGAAGGAGCCCACAAATTGGCCGGAGGGACCCAGAGGCCAGGTTTACAGCTGCAGCAGGACACGGACCAGAGAGGCATAGTGATCCAACTGACGGATACCGGGGGTGAATGGGATAATCTTGATGACAGTGAACTCATATTCACCTTGGATTGTGATGGCAAAAAGTCACTCACCTCCCTCCGGAACCGAAGACCATGTTCCGTCGACATTCAGACGGAGGGGGAATGGAATCTCAGCTCACCTGCATTCAACGTTCCTCTCTCTCCATCTTCACCAGGCTCCTTGGGAAACTCTTTTACCCCGGGGTCTGGCTTCCTCTCACCCACTCACCGGCCTCTGGCCAGCTTAGTGAAGTCATTATCTACAGAACTGGAACTAAAAGAGACTTCTTTAAAGCCCAAACCATTCCTCAGCCTTGTGAAGTCGATTTCCACCGAGCTTTCTCGCAGTGAGCCGGAGGTGTCTCAATCCAGGTCTGATTCCAAGCTCAATTTGCACTTGTTGTCACAATTTACCCAGCCCAAAAGCCGCAACGGTGATTCCCGCACTGCCCCTCCATCTCCAGTCAAGTTGTCCCCCACCGAGCCCAAAGCCAGCTTCTTCAAAATGGAGCTAGAGGACACCCGACGCAAGCTCTCGGAGGCCATGCAGGAACCTTTGAGCATGTTCAGTAAGATCATGCGTGAAGATAGTGTTGGCAGCCCCAAGCACCAAAGGAGTACAGGATCAGTGGACTCTCCAAGCTACAAAGGCTTTGGAATTGGGAAAATGAACACTGACTTACCTGCATCCGGATCTCCTAAAAGTGCTAGGAAAGCAGAAAGTGAGTTTCTACCGGAGTGCAACTGGCCTGTGAGACATCGCAAACGGTGTGTGCAGAAATCCCTTTCCCATGATCACCATAGCAAACATGTAGACATTGGGCCTGTGATGGAGTCCAGCACTCATGGCAATGCGTCCCAGAGCACAAATATGAATAGAACTGATCAAGATGGTTTGGCAGAAAATGTGACGGAACAATGCTCCTCTCCAGTGCCAGGAGTGGGTCTTGCCTATGTAGCATTTCTGTCATACTGCTACTTTATCTTTCCTTTGTCAGCGTATTGGTCTGGCCTGTTCCTTGGTTTAGTGTTTGGATTAATGTTGGGGCTTGTGCTGATCCGTTGGGACTCCATCAGACACCTGTCCACCAGTCACCAACATGGGACCTTCTATAATAGCATTCTCTTTGAAACCCTACAGAGCAATGTATCTTCTCTCAAGGTGAGTTCGATGCATTTTAGAATATATTTAAAAAAAAGAACCTGATACTCTCTACTTGGAGGTACTTGTAGCATAACAAACTATGTTATTAAAATTATTTTTTTGTGTATACACTACTGTTCAAAAGTTTGGGGTCAGAAACTTTTTTTTTTGAAAGAAATAAATTAATACTATTATTCAGCAAGGATGCATTAAATTGATCAAAAGTGACAGTATAATGTAAGTTGATAACTTTCTTGTGCACAAAATGATTTTTTCACAGAATGATTTGTGAAGGATCATGTGACATTAAAGAGAGAATTAATGGCCATCACAGGATTTTTTGTAGGAGTGGGTCTTGCCTATGTAGCATTTCTGTCATACTGCTACTTTATCTTTCCTTTGTCAGCGTATTGGTCTGGCCTGTTCCTTGGTTTAGTGTTTGGATTAATGTTGGGGCTTGTGCTGATCCGTTGGGACTCCATCAGACACCTGTCCACCAGTCACCAACATGGGACCTTCTATAATAGCATTCTCTTTGAAACCCTACAGAGCAATGTATCTTCTCTCAAGGTGAGTTCGATGCATTTTAGAATATATTTAAAAAAAAGAACCTGATACTCTCTACTTGGAGGTACTTGTAGCATAACAAACTATGTTATTAAAATTATTTTTTTGTGTATACACTACTGTTCAAAAGTTTGGGGTCAGAAACTTTTTTTTTTGAAAGAAATAAATTAATACTATTATTCAGCAAGGATGCATTAAATTGATCAAAAGTGACAGTATAATGTAAGTTGATAACTTTCTTGTGCACAAAATTATTTTTTCACAGAATGATTTGTGAAGGATCATGTGACATTAAAGAGAGAATTAATGGCCATCACAGGATTTTTTTTTATATATAAAAAGAAATTGTAAATAATATTTCAATTTTATTGTTGTACTTTAAATAAATAAATAACTAAAAATGCAGCATTGGTGAGCATAGGGAATTTCTTAAAAAAATATTAAAATATCTGACCAATCCCAAATTATTTCCCAAATATGTATGTATCTTAATATACCTCTAATAAAAATAAATTAAATTAAAACAAACCTATATTTGATACACTTTTTTAAAAACATAATTATCTATACATTTTAACATAAGAGTCTATATAAATAGTGTATGAAATATGAAATGTGAAAATACCAATAACAATATGAAACGTATTATTACCACTACCCATATTACACAACTCAGGAAAGATTTTCCATCAAAAAGACATGAATCGCAACACAGAGGAGGACATTTAGTAAATTAAATGACTGTGGCTGCATCTGAAATCACATACTTCCCTATTTAGTAGGTGAAAAAGTTGTGTATGTGACAAAGGATGTATGTTCGAATTCACAGTACTCATAAAAGAGTAGGCAAAAAGTACCCAGATGACCTACTTCCGGCAAGATTCTGAAGTGTGCGTGCAATGGACACATCGCTATCCCATTGAGTAGCAATGAAGCGACACAACTGACACTGGTAGGTCACATGATAATGACAACATTGTGAATCTAGTACATCCAGATTACATTCATACTACACACATTCATACTATATAGAACATACTTTTTAGCAGCCGCAAAGTGATTACTTATTCAAAATAAGTACCCATTTACAAGAGTATGCTATTTTTGACAATTTCTCCCACTTCCTGAAGAGCATGGATTATCCACCAGGGGGTAGAAGACATAGTTGGGTTTTCATTTTAGGGTTGAATGCTAAGAAAAGCAATAGAACAGCACCGTAGGTAACAATAGCCTTGCAGACTGCTATTAAACCAAAACCTGCACTTCAATGTATCAAATCTCATGTCCTTCGGGAATCAGTTTTTTTTACACACTGCAGTGAATGTCACAAGCCTTAAACTTGCTTCTGTCCTAAGACTGAGCAAAACCCTCATTACCACTCTCTTCTGTGATTATTTCTGCTCTTCAGTGTCTGATGCAGAATAATACACACACCCACTGCTTGTCACAACCAGCTACAGAGTTTATCCCGATGCCCCACTTCTTTAATTTGTCTGTCTCTGTGTTAAAACTTTGTGGTAAGAATGCAGTGATTACAGTAGAGTTTATGTGAAATGTTTCGGCGTTCTAGGGCTGGATGAACGAGATGTACACATATGATCCAGAGACTTACCATCCATCCCTTATGCACACTGTGTATGTCACATTGGACGGACCCTGTTTGCGGCTTGACTACCCACGTAACAACATTCCCCGCTGGGCTACTTTTGACGAGCCCTGCTACGAAAAGCATTTCACCCACTCACGGATATTTCAACTCACTGGCAGCAAGGTTAGTGTACCACTGATGTTAGCACCTTAGTAGAAAGAGCATCCATTGCCCTTCAGTGTTAGTGCAACACAGTTCTACTTATGGTCTCTGAACCTAAATGGCTTGAATTTTAATGTTGCAGAATGTTGCATAGATGTCATGTAATTATAATGAAGTTGTTGCCTTGGTAACAGGTATTTCTTCTGCCACTGGCTTTGGCACACAAGAGAGTGTGGAACAGGAAGTATCCGATCTCCATAAGTTTGGCTGAAGGAGAAAGAGCTGTGAAGGAAGACGAGATGTCAGAGGGTCAGGGGGAGGCTCAGAAAGTAGAGAAATCCCCTGGCTCTAAGACAAATGTTTCCCATCCTGTCACACTCTACCTGTTTGGACGAACAGGACGGGAGAAAGAGGAATGGTTCCATCGACTGTTTTCCATGTCCATTCACAATGAAGAGGACCCTTTTGAATCTATATCTGGTGGTAAAGTTGCAATCAGTTAAACACTCCAATGCTTAAAAAAGTAACACTCAATGCTTAAAGACTTAAGTGAACTGAACATACATCAAAAATGATCAAAATATGTCAAAAAATGTTTTTGCATATGCTTTTTAATGTAATTTAATAACATTGTTAATGTTTTTTCCATAAAGGAACATTTTAATTTTGTGGTAGTCAAAATAAAAAAAGTATGTATATATATATATATATATATATATATATATATATATATATATATATATATATACACAAAACAAA